ACATCACAGGACGAGACAGGCAGGGAAAGGAAGAAGTAAGAGCAGCTATCGGCATTGAGTCCTGCCTGCATTACGTAGATAGTAAAAAGACAGAGAATAAAGTGGTTTGACCACCTGTTGCATTTGCCCCTTGGCCAGCCAGCCTCCAGAGCCTACAACACCAAACACCCAGGCTATAAAGGTGGATCGAAGGTGTCAAGGAAATCATGAAAAAAAATAATATCACAACTGAAAGAGCTGCAGAGCTGGTCTACCATAGAAAACTACATTTCCTCTCGACGCTTAACGGCAACAGAGAATGAAAAAGTAAAGTAGTAAAGTCAACCCTCTCTGTCAGTGTCAACCCGGGCTGTGTGGGATACAGCATCCTAGCCAAAAGGGAGACACTCGGTAAAATACCTTCCTCACGTGGGAATCGAACGCATATCTACTGGGTGCAATGGACTCCTGTGATTCCTAAGCAATCAGAACTGACCAATGAATGAACAATTTAAAAAATATAAGTGGCAAGATTGAATGTTTCAGTCAGGCGATTGGAAGTTGTCTGGAGTCTATAATCTAACCTATCATCATCATCCAGTGCCAGATATATCTGCGACAGATATCGGCGATCATGATTTTCCATTCATTCCTTTGCTCGGATGCTCTCAGAAAAGCCACGTTTCCCTGATCTTTCACTGTTACCCATTTGTTTAGGTTCCCTAGGTATGTTGTTCTGGGCCTACCCCTGCCTCGCTTGCCCTCAATTTTGCCAATGAGAGCTAGATGTTCAAGACCCTTATGTCTATTCAGGTGTCCCAAAAACTGCATTTGTCGTTTCCTGATTGTTTTTAACATTGAGCGTCCCACGTGGGCTTCATCAAGCACTACCTCATTTGATTTCTTTTCCTTCCACAATACTCTTAGCAGTCTCCTAAGAAACCACATTTCTGTTGCCTCTATTTTATTTTCACTGTCTTTAGTGATTTCCAACATTCAGAGCCATATAGAAGGGTTGACCAAACATAGCATTTCAGGACTTTCATGTTGGTGTTCATTGATAATTTTATGTTTTAATTTTTCAGGATTGGGCTCATTTTATTAAAACTAGCCTTAGCCATTGCAGTTCTCCTTTTTATTTCTGTGGAAGATTTGGCATCAGATGTTATCATATATCCTAGATATTTAAACTGTTGGACTTGTTTGATCTTTTCACCTTTGCTAATGAGATTACAACTAGGATTTGCTGCCTTTTTGGATATTACCATGCATCTTGTTTTCTTTACATTCAACAATAATCCTTTACGTTCACTTCCTTTTTGGAGCCTGCTATTAAAACCGTGTCATCTGCATACCTGATGTTATTGATATTTTCTCCCTTTACTTTGAGGCCTGGACATTCTTCTATGTTTCTAAGGATTGTTTCACTGTACATGTTAAAGAGGTCTGGTGACATAACACATCCTTGCCTGACTACTTGCCTAATCTGCTTATATTCACTGTATTCTCCATTCATTCGTACAGCAGCGTTTTGGTCCCAGTACAAATTTCTGACAATTCTTAGATCTCTTCCATCTATGTCTAGCTTTTCCAGTATTTTAAATAGCTCATCATGTCTAACTTTATCCAACGCCTTTGAATAATCTATGAAGCATAAATACAGATCTTTCTGTGCTTCAATACATCTTTTCATTAACATTTGTAAGGTGAATGTAGCATTTCTGGTGCCCTTGTCAGGAACAAAGCCGAATTGCGTTTTAGATATCTCTGGTCTTACACTTCTTCTCAATCTTCCCATTATTACTCGCAGCAATATTATTTGTAAAATGACTCATAAGGCTAATTGTTCTATGCATATCACACTCAGTGGCACCTGATGTTTTAGGTAAAGCTATAAAAACTGACTTCATCATTTCTTCTGGGATCTCACCGCTGTCATAAATAGCATTTGGGAGCTTTGTTGTTATTTCAGTGTAGTTCTTCGAGCGCGACAAACACTTCAACTGGAATATTATCTGGCCCTGTGGCTTTTAATTGTTTCATTTTCCTAATGGCAGCTTGTACTTCTGCTTTCAGTATTGGACGTCCATTTATTTCATTCTTTATTACTGGTTTTTCTCCTCCATTATCTTTGAAAAGTTCTTCTATGTATTCTGACCATCTGTTTAAGACATCCCCGTTGTCCATTAAAATATCCCCTCCCTTTGATCTTATGCATCCTGTATTTGAGCATCCTTTTATCCCACTTACTTCTTTGATTTTTGAATGCATGTATTTGCTGTCTTTGTTTTGGTTCTTCTCTATTTGTTGACACTGATCGTTTATCCATGTTTCTTTTGCTTCGTTGCATTTTTTCTTTATTTCCCTGTTTAAGATGTTGTACTTTTCCACATTTGATTTTGCCTTTCTTCTCTCTTCCATTACGTTTAATATGTCCTGGGTCATCCATTTTTTATTCGCTTTTTTAGCTTTCGGGGGGATATTGAGTCTTTCATTTTCCTCCATAGTTCTTCCGATTTAGTAATGTTTTCCAAAGCTTGAAATTTATTTCTTACATCTATGGAGAAACGTTCTTTCATTTCTTGATTTGTCTTTAAAAGACCTATGTCAAATTGATGTTTATACTTTGACTTTTTGAGTTTCTTTAGTTGTATCCGGATTTTACACATGACTGGTACATGATCACTATCACAGTCTGCTCCCGGCATTGATTTAGATGATTTTATTGTGTTTCTAAAACGTTTCTGAAAAAGTATGAAGTCAATTTGATTTCTACTTCTATCGCCAGGACTCTTCCAAGTGTATCATCTTCTTGGGTGATTTTCATACCAGGTGTTCGATATCAAATAAAATTCCGACTCCTCTTTCGTGGGTTTTTCCTCCTGAATAAATAATTGTTTTGGATCCTCTTTTAATCAAGCCTGCCCCCTCCCATCTAACTTCTGAAAGGCCTAACGTATTTAGCTTCACCATTTCCTGTTCTATATTATCTAATTTGCCTTTCTGGTACATTGTTCTTACATTCCACGTGGCGATGTTAAGTTGCTTATTTTTGCAGCCAGTAGCTGGATGACGATCGGGCGCCACCTGCTGCCCGTGGCGGTCCCTACCGAGCGGGGAGTTCAGAGCTGGATCATGAACCCCCTTAACGCTGTTATCTGATAAATGATTGTACTTTTCCATGACTGTTATTGGGATATTACAGCATATATCTAACCTATACAAAATAATTTAATATACATGTGTCCTATATCTCGTAGTGCATGTAGCTGCAAAACATGATGTAACATTATAGCTGTAAAAATTGTAATGGTAGATAGTCTGCCCCTCCCCCTCCCTATCGTTTGGGAAATAAGAATCTATACTCCACAAGAGACTGAACCTCTGTCATCTCCATACCATTGAAGTTGGGTTGTTTTGTTTTGTTTTTGTTTATTCCTCAGCTCATGTTATCCCTGAAAGGCAGGGTCGAGGCAGCCCGCCTCTTAAATGAAGTAAATAGTGTCGACGTAGGTAAAGCTTCTACTTTTAGTCTATAATTACGTGATTGCAAGGAACAGGACCCCTGAAGCAGGCAACCCCAGAGAGGCCCAGAGCCAGATGGTCTCACGAATCAGATACGCTGTCCATCTCAACCTTTTCAACAACTTTATACCTGGATTCCTTCAAAAATTTCGTTTCGTTTTTGGTTTCAGTTATGTTTTATTTGTTTGAGTAAAATTAAGCACGTTGACACATTAATGGTAATTTTATGCTGGGAAAAAGTAAGACAAACTGACAGAAACAAAAGATGGAAAGTAAAAAAGTATAGGACCTACACCCAGTGGCGATCCCCGACCACAAGCCCTGTTATCGTCGCCTCAGAACTATTTTGTCCATGGAGCACACCTAAGTACTTTATACAAAATAATCCTGAGGTCACGTTATGTCTACAACCTCACCAGACATATTATACTGGTTATTTATAAGGCCCCAATTACGTTTTACAAAATCCCTGTCTGAATTTGGGCTGCGCCAGTATCAGAGAGCCTTGACAACTTCCTGAGAAAGATTGTATGTTTTAGTAGAGGTTTTACGGCGTTCGCTACTGCATAAGGTCATATGAGCGTCAGAAGATTAGAGATGTTACAAGAGTGTAACAAACATTTAAAAAGGAGGGGAGATAAGGACGATAGATGTTTGATAGGACAGATTCTGGAGGGACTTTTTTAGTTTTAGTAAGAGTTTTACGGCACTTGCAACACAAATAAGTCATGTAAGTGCTGAAGATTAGAGGTGTCGCAAGAGAGTAACAAACACAAAAAAGGAGGAGAGATCAGGACAATAGATGTCTGATAGAGAAGAAGGAGCAAACCCCACCAGGGCATTTAGGGGGATCGATCCCTGGTTTTCTGTAGGAGAAAAAGTAGCACAGTAATACGATAATGACCATTTTAGTGCATGAAAACGCAAGTTTTAGTTTTAGTAAGAGTTTTACGGCATTTGCACCACAATAAGGTCATATTATTATTATAAATGATGGAGGGAATAGATCTATTACAAGAGAGTAACATACACAAAAAAGGAAAGATAAGGATGATAGATGTTTGATAGGAAAGAAGGAGCAAACCAGAGCAACTGCGAACCACCCACGGAAAACGTTTTATAGACCGACATAACAGAGGAAAAGAAGGTAGGTACTACTAGTAACATCCTTGATACATTGATCAAGGGCTATGAGAAAGTGGCTTGATCGAAACACACTTGACTCTCCTTCAAATGGATGAAATGGTCGCTTTTAAGGGGGCGGGGGGGGGCTACACCCCCAAAGTCCCGATTCGGCTCAAAATTATGAAATTTTAGTTGTAGACATTTTAGCTTCCTCAGCATCTCCTACAACTATTTCATCGCATAAGAACCCCCCCCCCCCCCCAAAAAAAAAAAAAAAAAAAAAAAACATTTTTTTCCAACACCGTGCATGTTTGTCACCACCATTTCCTCATAAAGTCAGTATTTTATTTTTCTTTATTGGCCGTTTTCTCAAAACGAGATTTTTCTCTATACATTTTTTTAATAACACCACCATTTTTCATTCAATCTTCATGAAATTTTCGCAGAATGAAGAGAAGATGTAATACTAAACATGTGTTTGTTGAATTTTTTATATATGGAATAGATTTTTGTTGGTGGTGTCTGTAGTGTAGATTTTTACGGATTTTTTGCAAACTTGAATGCTACCTCAGGAAAAAAAATTAATTTAAAAGTTTCTAATTCGTTTAGGAAAAAAAAACTACAGACAAATTTTTAGATCTAATGTTTGTTAACACGTATGCAAAAAAGCAATGAATTTCCATAAGCAATAAGTGCGGTATTCATTACGTAAGACATGTCAACAAAATCCAATATGGCCGCCATATCCAAGGAAACAAAACTTTTTGTCAAATTTGATTGCAGATTTTAAGAATCCTTACTATGCTTATATGTGTGAAATTTGTTAAAATTTGGTCCAGTAATACGCGAGATAGTCTTCAGGTGTAGCTTTGAAGGGAGTTTACACTAAAATCAGCTGTCTATTTTATTTTTAGAAAGGTTTCACGGCGCTCGCAACTGGAGTGGGTGTCAACAGAGAAGTCCAAACGGGGAATCAGGCTTACTCTGCTCACCTCTCTAGCTTCAACAGCACAAAGTCTGCTTCAACTATCAAGGCACCCCGAAAATAGCAGTTTACATGAGAGTAACAAACATACTAAAGAAGTAGATGAAAAATGGTACTAGTAAGGATGAGAAAAGAAAAAGCAGCAGTTCCCCCCTGTGTTGCTCCAACAGTATAAGCATGACATTGATAAATCAGCCCATTTACATTTCTACTGTGCATAAAAACATGTTAATATCCCTCTTTGGGAATGGCCTAAAGACACTTCAGTCAGTAGCACTGCCCTGGGGAATCAGCTGTCTGCTGTAAAGTAATTTACTAGAAACGAATGTGGGAGGGATACTGCCAATATTCAATACATCTGCAAATCTCAGCAGCAAGTTTCTGTGCGTAATACAACAGATTAAATTTCTCAATTGTTCTCCCAGCCACCTCCCACTACCCCACCTAAGCAGGTCTCAATTTTCATTCCTTCAACAAGTTTTTTAGTTTAATTAAAGAGTTTTATGGCACTTGCAAAACAATAAGGTCATATAAGTGCAGAAGATTAAAGGTATTATAAAAGAGTGGGGGGGGGTGGTAGAAGAGGTTTTACTGTGCTCGCAACTGATCAGAGGTGTTACAAGAGAGTAACAAACATAAAAACGAAAAAAGAAGAAGGGGAGATAAGGACGATAGATGTTTGATGTAATGATAGGAAAGAAGAAGCAAACCACACCAAAGCATCCGCCAACCACCCACTTCGACAAGTTTGCACAAGCACATACATCAATACTGAAAAACTAAGAACAAACAAAGGTTTTCTTTCTAACATTTATTTTGACTCCACAAGGAAATATGCTTTTTTTTTTTTCAATTGAAAATATGTATTAAACTTCAGGTATTTCAAAATCTGAGACAAGAAATGGGGAAAAAAAGGGAAAACTTTCTGTCTAGCTCAATCTGTTCAATTCTTGATGGGAAAAACAAAAGTGCACCTCCTGTGGTTTGTGGAAGATCAACAGCTAAATTTTTCTATAAAAATAAAAGACAAAAAGGGGAAGTTTTCTTAGGGGGTGGACTGGAATTCCTTACATTCCTACAAGAAGATGTTGAAATGACAAACAATTACACATCTTATGTCACACAAAAATATACAACGAAGGAAAAAAATTCTTGTAAAAAGTGAAGGGAGGAAAAGATAATGTGTAAACCGTCAAATAAATATTTTTAAAAAGGATGGTGCTCGTGTCATACAATCACCTGGAATGCACACGTTTTGAACACTATGGCAACTGTTCTCAGGATTCCTATGATCCTGGGCTTTCTCATTGGGGAAAAAGCACCCATTGCATGCTTTAGTGCAAAATATATTATTGCGTTCATCACATCATAAAACTTCGTCTTAGCATGACCGCATTTGACACAACATAACTGCCTTTTGTCAGAATATGACTGTCATGGTGTGACTGCTTTTCTGATAAAATGATTGTGTCCAAAAAACTGTGAGACATCAGTCAGGCTCCTCTGCCTCTTCCAAAGTGTCAGACATGAGGCACAGCTGTGGCACTTAAACACATAAGACTCAACGGAGAAAACCTGCTGTATGGAGGGACTTCTCAAAATGGATTTCACATTCTCATTTGATCAGCTCTTCTTTTTTTTTTTAGATTACAAGATAGAAAAATAATGGACAACAAAATATATTCATTCAGAAATAACTCACAACTGCAGCCACAAACCAATTTCCATTTATAAATCAAATTAAATATATCACAAAAAGCAACATTTCAATTTTCTACACCTGATTGTTTCCGACATTAGTGAATAAACATACAAAACAACACAGACATCCACAAGTTCAGATTCAAATAAACGCCACACATTCACTCACAACAATAAACGCCACACATTCACTCACAACAATAAACGCCACACATTCACTCACAACAACAACAAAATCACACCAAGAAACAAGGGGAGGAAAACAAAAAAATTAAGAGGGAAAAAAAATGACATAGCGAAAGGGACAGTAAATTAGAACAAACCTCCAGAAAGATTTATTTCCCTTTATCATTATACTTCAGTTATATGATTGCAGAGCACTGAAAAACTTTCATGAAGTGTTTATTCTGGGAGAAAAGGGATGAAGACCATGCAACACATACAACCACTCACTGCACAGGTGGTCAATTTGCACAATTTGAGAATGGTTTTTGAAAACATTGGATACCCAGAGGATCATTAACTCAATAAGTTGATATATTTTATAATGCACTAAAAATGATCTCTTATTCAGGACAAAGATAAATGAAAAGAAACCTTTTTCACATCCTCAAACCACAAACACAGGATCTTTTGTGCTTCTCAAAACTCTGACAGAAGAAAAGAAAAAACTGCTGACAAACAATAACAGTACGATACTGAATAAGCATGTTAAAGTGTGGATCTCAGCAACATCTAGAAGCTTCCAGAACAATTGCACTAGTTTGTCCACAAGAGTAGAAAACATTTTCAACAAAAAAAAACAATACCTATACCATCCTGATCTTTTGATTCCTTGCCACAACGACCAGAAAATAAATAGAACCACTAACAAAAACAGTGTCAAACTCACACCGAAGCGGTGCCCTACCACTAGAGAGAAAACAGACCAATAAACATCAACAAATTATATTACATACATACTGAAATAATGACATGACAATGAAGCCTCCAAGTCTGAGATGGGAGTGGGTGGGCAATGACCAGATTATCAGGCTCAAATACAAAAATTCACACAATAAACATATTGTCAACAAGTAGAAAAAACATTTCAAACAGAGTATCTATGCCTCAGTAGGCAGCAATGCTAAGAGTATTTGTAGGAAGGGCTGGAAAGGTACCAAGCCTCTTGTAAGGGTCCAAGTGGGGGCATGGGTTGGGACTGCTCTGAATACACAACAGAGCCTACCACTAAGGTCTCCAGCTTCTCCAGTTTAACTCAATACTTCTGCTAACAACAAACATTTGTGTCAAGTCCAGAGACAGTTATCAAGCATGGGTTGCACAACCCCTACATTTCACCTGTCTCTCACTAGTAAGTAGGATTCAGTTGCTCCAAAGAGAAGTATACATGCCACAAGATTATGTCAACCAATCAAAGTGTGTATACACTGAGCTGGTCAAAAAAATTCCAATATACATATTTCTTATAAGAAAAAGAAGAAATCTAAAAACATTTTGACTTTATCACGCAGATTCCCTCTGCAGGTAGAATAATTTTTGCAGAAATCGTGATTTACCAAATGTCACCCAAGTGACAAAATATGAACTTCCTCCTTCTCCCCTGGGAAGGTTGATCCACCCACAAACACTGACATGGAAGGAGGCTGGGGGTGGGGGATATTACAACAAAACAATTAGCATTTTGCTGAAATGGCAACAGATATTTTTTAAAAGCATCCGGTGTGCATTAACATAAACTCTGCGGAGGACTACCGCACAAACTTCCATACGTGGAACTAGGACAAAGTCCTCCCTGTGGTCTCGTGACGTGGACAGACGGGCAAGTCTGAACTACCAGTGATCGGAGGTCCTGAGTTTCCTTAAATACTTGTTGGCTGAGGCTTCTCGGTAAAGTCTGCTTTACGATAGCAACGGGACAATAATGTTGGCAACGTTGTTGGCTCCTTCTCCCAGAATGAAGGACTCATGGTTGCCAGGCACCACCTTTACATTCACTTTTCCAGCACAGACCTGAAAATAAGAACAGAAAGTATGACATTCACATGGTAAATTTTTTATCACACCTGGAGACATTATCAGCAGCTTAAAATGCAATCAACACAATTTCCCTTCTCCATGTCAAGTCGAAATCCTTAGAACACAATCCTACAAATTCATCGGCACATAACAGGGAACTGCTGTGTACCGCATAAAATTGTTCAGCTGTCCACTAGTCAACATATTAACTCAGAAATCTACTATTCTGAAAAGGCAGTCAAAAACCATGCAATTAACAGAAAATTCAAAGGTGATCTCATGTCCTCAATACCAGCACAATAATGCTGTAGCAGTTGATAGATTAAGCTGAATAAAAACATAATGATTTAAATCTGTTCTCTTCAAGGAAGTATAACTCAATCCCACCTACAGCCCTGTTCTGAAAATTATCTTTGCCAACAAACTGTTTAGTTTTAGTTTTAGTAGAGGTTTTACGGCGATCGCAACAGCATAAAGTCATATGAGCGCCAGAAGATTAGAGGTGTTACAAGAGAGTAACAAACATAAAAAAAGAAGAAGGGGAGATAAGGACGATAGATATTTAATAGAAAAGAAGGAGCAAACCACACCAGAGCACCCGCCAACCACCCATTCAACAAACTGTACAATTTATACAATTTAAACTTTTTGTATAATTTTTCAAAAAAAGCAACTATACATAAAGCTCCACTTGGGGAGAAAATGTCAAATGGGTGAAAGCAGCAAGAAAGTCAAATGCCCACACCTTTCACTAAACCGATAGCAAATCTAAATATATCAGCAGATCTATCCAAACCAAACATCATACTGACCACATCATTTGAGTGAGATTTTCTTTCTACATTAGTAACAGGAAGATCCCAACCACCGCAGGACACGAGCACAAAGCCATTGGGTGACAATGGCCAATCTAGGCGATAGATGGGTTCGTACAGCAGTTGATTTAGATAATCGAAGCGCTAATAGATTTAAAAAACTAGATGAAACGGATAAATGTTCACATCTCTTGATCTGGCATTAATTAAGCTTAAAGAGCAAATTTTTCCCTTTAAAAAGAATAGATTCTTACCAGACTGAGGTCATAGTCCTCTCCAATGCCACTTGATGTAATACTGTTCTGCTCGGCCTTGACCAGAGTGATGTCACCAGCATATTTCCCTGGCATGTACGACTCAGCTATGGCCAGGGAGGAGTAGTAGGCCACAACCAGGTGCTCCAAGTCTTTTCTGTCCGAGAACTTGCCAGTCTTCATGATAGCATCAACGGCAAGTTGACTTCGCTCTTTCTGGTCTTTGGCGGCCACAAGGGACTTGAAGAACTGGAATATTACAAACAACAATAGGGCATTAGATAAGTATAGCCTACTTGCCCCTCATAGTACCAAACTTGGAAACATTACTGAACCTTCTAATCAATAATTGTTTATCATTTCTTCAAAATTTATTTTGACAGTCAGATATAATACCAGGACTGATTCATTAATGTATTATCCATTAATTCTGTATTTCTGAAACTACTATGCTCACAAAAGTGAGATGGACTTCATTTTTTTTTTTTTAAACAAACTAACCTCAGTTTTTAAGACCGTTTCTAATCTGCAAGAAGATTATGTATAATAAATGTAACTGAAAAATCTTGCTATATTTGCAGGAAAAAACTAATTTTATCTAGCATATTCTCATTGACTAAAACAGCACAGTTCTGAGCCTACATATATGAAGAGCTGCATTTTTCAGAACAGACAAGAATAAGAGTAAAATGAAAGAAGGTAGAGAATCACAGCAGGATACTCATCCCTAAATACCCATCTGCTAAAGACACTGGCACAATTTTTTCCCCCTGTAACCTCCTTACCCCCCCCCCCCCCCCAATACACACACACACACTTCACCTCATCTCAACCCCCAAAAAAGAGGATCTACTTACCGGCACTTGATCCACCTGAGTAAACAAGTTCACAAAGGCCAGCATGCCTGCAGACTCCTCCTCTTCGCGGGAGCTGAGCTTCATGGAGCGACGGTAAACGTCAGTGTGCATCTCCACAAACCTGTGGACGAAGTGGTGTACATCATATCATTCCGTCAAATATCTTACAATGTCATGTGCTTGCTATTACATCCAGTTTTTGACTTTATATCTTAAAATTGTGCATTTTATTTATCCCATTACGTACATAGTACCCTTTCTCATCATGTACTTTATATTCTATCCTCTCAATGTCATGTTCTTTGTATTATATCTTGTAGTTACTTTACATCATATCATATCTAACTATAATACCAATCATCAGTCCATGGAACAGAATGAAGATTACCATTTGTGTACAAACATGACAAAATGTCGTCTCTTTCAGACGTTTCAAGATGGCGGGTAAAACCTCGATTTTCTGAACAATGTACTTATTGTAACCCCCAAAAATTATTAACTCTTTAAACCCCATCGGATGCTGGGAGCGTCCAGCAGTAATAAACCTGTTCCTCATCGGACGCTGGCAGCGTCCAATGCAAGTGACCACTGTTTCCTTTTATTTAGTGCTAGTTTTTGCTTGTTTTTCGGAAACTATTCCTGAACCAAGTTTTTTTAGTAGTGACTAAGCCTGTGTTTCAACCATTTAAAGTTAGAGACAAGCATTTGGAGTTATAATGAGACATAGTGTACCAGGTTTAAGTGACTGTAGAAAAACTCCGGGAAATGGTGAAATAAACTCAGGAAAAGAGTTAAGAGACTAACTTTGAAATCAAACAAACTGACAGATTGTATTTTCATTTACTTGTACACCCATAACGCTATTCTGTCAAAATGTGACGTGTGATGCTGCTTGCTCCACATTTAGCATTCAAGTGACCAACCTGTGCGAGCCATCCAACAACACGAGGGACTCCACAATGTCTGGTCTGTTGGGGTAGTTCTTGCGCAACTGGCACGCCATCTCCAGGGCAATCATGGCACCAAAGGAGTAGCCAGCCAGGCGGTACGGGCCGTCAGGGTCAACTGCATTGAGTTGCTGAAAAAAAGAGATTAGTTGGAGGTGATTCTTATGTCCTGCGAGTACTACGTTTCTTCCCCGGGCCACCAACATGGACAGCATCCTATACCATACATCAACCGTAACTTCAATTTTGAAATAATTAACTTCAATATTTTTTAGGTTGCCATGAAGTTGAGTTGTAGTTTATGAGAGTCTTCACTATTGCTGTCACATGTTCACCAGGAACAGATGAGAATGAGAGTAAAACTGGATAGATTAAAGGAGCAAACCACACAAGAGCCTCAACCACCCATCTGCTATTTGGGATGTTAAACTTTACCCAACGCATGTTTCATTAAAGGTTGAAGGGTAAGAGAGGCTGCAAACAACAGTGGATGGATAAAAAATGCCATCCAAAGGCAAGTGTAATATTCAAAACAAAATGAAGACCAAAATTCTGACCTCATTTGCAAACTTATTTGAGCAATTACAGAATAAGTGACTAAAAATATACATAGCACACAAAAAATATTTACTTTCCCTTATCTCTCGAATCTAAAAATTTCACCAAAATGGGGGAAAACCACTTTGGAGAAGACTAAATAAACAGACAAGACATCAATACCTGCAAGTAGAATCCAGCCAATGCTTCCACTGAAGTGAGTGGGGCTTTGGCAGTGCACTGGAGGCCATACACAGGGCAGGGCAGGGTGGCGGCCAGAGTCTCCAGGGCAACAACACTACCTGGAGAGATTCAGCCAAACACGTGACTTTAACACACAAGCAGATGTCAGCTGCTAACACAAACCATGCATAGCTCTCTACCATTTCTCCTGAGTAATAAAGTGCGAGTCACTTATTTACAGATTTAAAAAAAGAGCCCCATGAGACATCGCCCCTCAGATGTCGATGAGTTTTATACATTCACCAGCGGACCTCTGGCTCCAGTAAACTATAGCTCATGAATTCACATATACCTGAACAAAGTGCATATTTGCCAGTACCAGCAAGGATGGATAGACACAACATTTGCAGGAGAGGCACTAGAACAACTTATACAGGACATGGGGATATAAATGGGCCTAGGTGAAAACTGTCAAAACAGAGGGGCCTATTTTATAAGTCAACACTTTCACTACTTAAAAACTTAAGTGCAGTCTATGCTTGCAGGGTCTAGTGGTCACTATAAAACTTAAATATCAAACTTCAAGCAGCACAGCGACCTATTTGTGTAATGATAAAACACAGATCATCAAAAGTATCTTTGCAAAAAACTGAGCGAGAGGTAAATGTCTAAACACTTCTTTATTTTAAAGGAAACTTTGCGTCTCTGGTGTATTATTTCCCATTTCCTCCTAGAAAAAGTAAAATATCGTATCTTGTATTCATTCTGTCCAGATACTTTTAAGAAGGAAAAAACTTTATTATACTGGTGACATGCACTTACCTTCAATGGGGTGCACAATAAATAGAGGCTTGACTCCATTCTTTACACTGTTGATCTTTTTGACAGCATCTTTTGGCACCATCTCTTTGTAGTTAAACCTCAAGGCCACGGTGGACTCCTGCGGTTTGGCAGCACTGGGTAATACCGTGTTTCCTTCTTTGGGCTGAGTATCTGAACCATCGGCGCCATCTTCGTCACTTACATCTACACAAGAAAGAAGTACAATTGGAAATGAAAAATACAGTAACACAAACACACAAACTTACCAACGGGATCAACAAGTGAAAGACAAAGAGACAACAAAATAAACACATATTTAGATTTTACAAAGTCAGCACTATAGATTCTAATCCTTTTGCCTGGAACTAATGAACACAATGTGAAACTGGACACACAAAAAAACCAGTCATTCCTCCAGTTGACAATCAACTTCCTGCCTTTTCTGGATGTGTGGGACGATGTATACACCCAGAACAAACACTGCTCAAAAGAGAACAGTAGAAACCAAAAAGTCTAGTTTAAGTAGAAACCAAAAAGTCTTGCTTCAATACAGCTCTGGGTTTTGGGGTTTTTTCCCCCTTTACCCCTTCAAAACAATTAAATGCCAGAAAACGTACTCATTTCTTGTAATTTCTTGATGTTGAGCAGCCTAATTTCTCTGGAGCTGAGAGACACTTCAAAGTCTCTCTCCAGCAACTGCTTGATCTCCACACCCATGAGGGAGTCCAGACCCAGGTCAGCCAAGCTCGTGTCAGGGTCAATGGACGTGGCGTCTTTCACACCTGAAGGGAAATCACAAAGGGAAATAGTGTCTTGCTAATTCATGAAATTGTTTGTTGTACAAAAAAAGCTTTAAACTCTTACATCTACATCCCTTCAGAAGAATTAGAAGCAGGAATAACACTTTGTCTTTTATCACATTTAAAAGATTTAAGATTTAATCCGTTAAAAACCCACAAAATGTGCTTTTGAAGTTTAGCATTACAACCATGAACTTGAAAACGAGCTAAAAAAAGTGTACTTTATTCACACTATTAAGATACAAGTCAATATTACGACGAATGAGGCAAATATGAAATTTACAGAACACAGAATAGCGGGATCAGTAGCTACAGAATAAGATAAATACAAGTGTAGAAGTGACGGACAAGACTGACAAAAACAAAAACAAAAATACAGTAAAGCAAAAGAGGGGAAGCCAAAATATGAATGAAGACTGATGCGGGTGCAAATGCTCTTCTTACCCAGAATCCTTGCTACAGAGTCAACCAGATTGACGCGGTTGGAGCTTCCCTCTTTCTTGCCAGAGTCCCTCTGTGCCATGACAAAACTGGACATGATGGTGTAGTTGTGAGTGAGGAACTGGTCCAGTGCAGTCAGGCACGAGGCCATCCTCTGAGGTAGTGTGCCACCAACAACTGTGTCGTTGCCGCCCATCGATTCAGCGATCCAACCCACATCACCAATGGCTCCCCACTGAATAGCAAGAGCTGACGACAAAAGTGCAATTCTTATTAGTTAATACTGATAAAGAGGAGCATCCTCACAATAGCAGTCATTTGCAAGACAGATTTTGTTAAAGTTCCGTTTTAGTGAGAATTTTACAGCACTTGCAACTTGCATATAAATGCTGAAGAATAGAAGAGTTACTAGAGACGAACAAACTCAAAAAAAGGAGGAGAGATAAAAACATAAAATGTGCGATGGGAAAAAAGAAAACGATACCAGAGCACCTACCAACTATCCACAAAGAAACATCAGAGAAGTAGTGGAGAAGTAAGGTATCTAGTGGTGGCCTCTCAAATAAGCAGAGGTTTTCATTTTACTCGCATGTTGATATGATGAGGAAACTATTTTTTAAAAGTGCAAACTTAATTCTTTTTAGGCATTGCTTTCTCAACGAAAAAAATTATAACTGAAATCAGACCCTATATTGTGCCACTTCCCTTTTAAAAAGCTTCTGCTGAAAAACAGTGAAATTCTATTGTGATAGTGGGTTGTTAAGTTGTGTCTAACTTTTAAATAAGTAAAACAAACAGCACTTTTTTGAGTCCTCAAACCACTTGTCTGTGAAAATAAAATTTGAAGCAAAGTACTACATGAAGAAAATCTTGACGAGAAATTCTCACCAGGAAGTCCAGCAGCTTTTCTTCTCTCACAGACCCTCTCCATGACTGAGTTAGCGAAGCCGTAGTTGGTCTGTCCCAGGTTTCCACGGCCAGAGACAACAGAGGAGAAGACAACGAACCATTCCAATGAGTCTTTGCACAATTCTCTTGTGGCTTTGTCCAGGTTGATAGTGCCTTGAATTTTAGGCTCGCAACAAGTCTTGTACATTTCTGACGTCTGGTTTTCAAAAAGACCATCACGGAGCACCTGGAAAAAGAAAATATGCCTGTATCCACAAGATGTTCCCAAAATTGTAGATTAAATAAATATTAAATTACAGGAGGGGAGGGGGGGGTTAAAAAAAACAACTTTAAACAGCAGAAAATGTTCTCACTACCAATTACTTGGAAGTTATCTGACTAAAAAAGAAATTGATAACACCGGGTCTCAGAAGTATCTGAAGCGAATTCGTTCTACAATGAACTAAACGTAAAGGCCAATAGTAACCCTTTCATTCTGTGAAATATACATCAACACAATTTAAATTATATAGGAGTCCAGTTACTCCAGCCCAGCTGATCCAGGCCCATTTTCCTAGGTGGGATCTATCCCAGCAGACAGAGAGTCAAAATAATATTTTCAAGAAAAAAACTACATCAAGTGAGTGAAAAATGCAAAGTGAGATACTATCATACCACAAGCAACGTTAAACAACCATTGTCAGTGCGAAAGACTGCACTGAATTTGAAAATAATATATATTTTCAAAAACACAAAGAAAATAGAATCTTCCATAGATAAATTGGGACAGTTACTTACCATGGCCAAGTTGAAAACACCACCAACAGGTCCTAATTTCTGGCAGTCTTGCAGTAAAGCTTTGGCTCCATCCAGAGTCCTGGCATCCTTTTTGCTGATTTCCACAGTGACACCCAGGTCCTTAAAGCGCTGGATCCTACTGTATTGGTAACCTGTCTTCACGCCAGACCTACAAAAAAAGGGCACGTAATAAAAAATATGATAACCATTCTGTCATAAACAAGTCATCAAGTGCTCCTTTACTGAGAAGGACATTGGAAATTATAGGAAAAGGTGAAACTAAAAACAAACTAGAATAAAAAGGACTATTGAAGTTGTCAGAAAGGCACACCTCAAAATACCAACAGCAGGACAACCACAAATTGAACAGCCAGATAAATGAACAGGCCAGAGTGCTATTTTATTACACCAGCCATACAAAGCCAAGAACAGAATACATTAAAAGAAACAAATTTAAAAAATGAAGGAGCAGGAGACCATGTCAGAAAATTTTTTAACCCCCTGAGCTGACGACAAAAGTAAATACCTGGAAGACAGCACAAGTTTCTTGGCTCCTCTCTCCACCAGCCACTGCGCCAGCTCCAGGCCAAATCCTCCCAGGCCGCCGGTGATTGCGTACGACTTGTTCGGGTTGCATGTTGTCCTTGGTACAGCAGGGAAGCAAACAGGAGGTGGTGTGGCCACTTTCTCTGGCTCTTCACTTCTGACCTGGAAATACAGATAGTAAGAGAACCATTTAGACAAACAGAATTATAAACATCATGTGCACGAAGTCAGAAATAATCTTTCAAGAGGAAAAAAAAATTAAGATACTCCATATTTCAAAAAGAAAGACCTCTATGAAAGTGAAAGAAAATAGACATTACACTTGTAAAGCTGCCTTTAGCAGTAGAGCAGACTTGGGTCATCTTATTCCATTTATGAATAAATCTTTTAAAAAATCAAAAGGAAGAAATCTTAATGACAAAACTTGAAAATTCAAGCCATTATTCACTTCTTATAAAAGACATTCTTTAGTTTTTTCCCCTTCTCTGAGGCTAAATGTGACAAATGTCATGCCTAGTTGAAATAAACTCTTCTGCTCTTCTTTCCTGTTAATGTGTCCAGTGTAAGCCATACATTTACAATAATACTTGACACTACCCAGAAGAAATACCACAAGTCACTTGAGAGAATCCCAAGTACTTCTTCCATATCCCTCTTTTATTCTTCCCCACTACAAAGTGATCATTATTCTCACAATACCGTCGCCCTTGTGATAAGTCAGCTAACTCACAATGCATCCTTTTTAAAAAATTAGATGAATCCACTGTAAATGATCAATTGCATATGCTCAGTCAAAGACAGCTTTGAATTAGGACTAAAAATGCCCCCCCCCAAGAAAAACCAACCCGTCAGCCGCCATGTGTGACAAAACAAATTTTTTGCTTCTCCAGTAAAATTAACTCCCCTGGGTCTAGCTGGTCTTATCACAAGAGTAACAGTATGCTTCTCTTCTAACTCATCATAAATCGCAAATACATACTTGGATGACAACTTTTCCAATATGTTTGCCCTGGGCCATGAAGCGGAAAGCTTCTTCCACCTCATCCTTGCCGAAGATGGTGGTCTTCAATGGGCGGACGACTCCTGAGGCCATGCCTTCGTTGACCATCTTAGCCACTTCAACCCAGTCATCTGTCTGGTGCTCAAACAGGGCGTCAAGTAAGATGCCGCAGAAGCTGATGTTCCTCAGGAAGATGGACATACCTGGAACAAAGCAATGAACATTGTATCACTTTGTTGTTTACACATACTGTTGTTCAAATCAAAGTAAAGCACTTGGCCCCATGTCAGGGCATATTATTTCAGGATGGATAAGAAGAATAATGGGAACCTAACCTGGACTCAAACATCAAAATCCCACAAAATGGGTCAGGAGAATATGGCTTTATGAAAAATAAGGAAAAGCAGACGGCATCAGGAGTGCCTTCAAACCTCCAGCTCTGAGAAATGTGAACATTTTTAAAAATTCAGCCAATAAAAGAATCCCTGAAATCCAGCTACTCTCGTCACAAAAAAAAAAATATTGATAAAATGAACAAACTGAAAAACTGAGAGGAGGAGAAAGGGAAAAGGGAAAAAGAAAAAAGACAACAGCAACAGGTGTGAAGACAGCATTGAAAATTGAGTCAAGAAAAGCACATCAACACAATAAAGGTCATTTACTGCTGTGAAAAAGTAAGACACAGACAGAAACAACTGAGGTATAATAAAGAAGTAGGACCTACCACTGGCACTCTCCAACACCCACCAATATTGCCAAGAAAAGACAGTAGACAAAGGCAAAAAAAGCAACTACTAGCTTGAAAGGAGATAAGTCATTGAAACATAAAAAGAAAAAGGTGCAGACCACATCAGAACACCCTTCAACTGAAACCACTTTCCATACGTGAAACGAGAGGTCAACAGTGTCAACTTACCCAATGGTGTGTCATTGGACAAGTCAAACTTTCCAATCTCCAAAAACCTGCCATGTTTCGCCAGCAACCGCACACTGGCCAGGAGCTTCTCTTCTGCCAGCGAGTTCAGTACAAGATCCACACCTGGAGAAATACAAAAGAACATTTGCAACAATACAATTATACCCCAAAAATTTCTACATGATATCATACCAGAAGACGAAGAAAACCTGAGCATTTATCAAATATCAACTTTTATGTGTCCACCATAACTTTTCCATAAAAAAGAAATTCATCGATAAAAAAAGAGCATTACATTTAATTGAGGTTTTAGACAAAGATCAATATTTTGTCAAAAGCCAATATGGACGAGGCATCTCTAAAAATCAAATCTCTGGATAAAATAAATGACCTTAGTAACAGTTGTCGCAGACAGTAATGATCCATTATATGCTTAAAGCAAAAGAGAACATATTCATTCTTGTGTCAGATGTAACAATAAAAAGATTGATGTACACACCTTCTCCGTTCGTTTCTTTCAGGATGTGATATTCAAATGACAGATCTCTGGAGTTGCTGAAGTTTCTGTCTTTGAGCTGTGGGAAAATCTGTTTCAGGTATTCTCTCTTCTCTGTGGAGCCGACTGTCGTGAACACCTCACAACCATAGCTGAGAGCCACAGCGATTGCAGCCTGAAGCAGAAACAAAGTTAGGGAATGAAACATTTTTAAAAGTAATAAACTTTCATACATAATCTCAAACGACGTCATAACAATGGCTATAAAAATTCCACCACAAAGCATCCAGAGCGAGAAAGCTCGTAGCAAGCAATTACCATTTTTTTTTAAATTATTTGAGAAACATTTGTTGTAGTAGCCTGCTATACATGTACCGACATGTGGATTGAGGAATACACAGTAAAATATTTTAATTTTCCAGGGGCATACACAATTGCAAATTGCCATTCAATTTCACATACGTTTTTTCATGCACATCAAATGAAAGAATTCTAGCCACTGAAGATAGTTATACTGAGCAAAAATCAGGTATCGATACCAAAAAAAAAATTCCACTTCCGTATATAATTTTGTAGAAGTGAAACTTCCACTTGACTCTAATATCCCTCCAACTGACCTGTCCGACACCACCACTGCCGGAGTGAATGAGGATCCTCTCTCCCTTCTTGATCCTGCCTCTGATGACCAGAGCGTAATAGGCGGTGCAGTAGACCACAGGCACCGAGGCAGCTTCCTCCATGCTCCAGCTGTCCGGAATGTTCCACAAGAAGCGTTTGGCAGTGTCTACAGCTGTTGCCAGGCCCTGAAGACATGTACATGAGAGATACAGCAAAATGCTGAGGTTCGTTCAAGAGAGAAACATAGCAAAGATAGAAAACAAAAAAGACCAAAATATTCACCAACACTACCAAAACAGACCAGCCAACAAGAAACCAAGCTAGAATACCAATTTCCTGTCAGTTGACTTCAAGTGCTGAAAAGGACTACGTTTACCAAAATAGCTGTATCAACTTTATACAAGAAGGCAAAAAAGTCATTCTTGAATAATGGGAAGTGTGCATTTGGTCAGGAAGACAGGGGACACATTTTGCCAGAAACTGAGAATGAAAGAAACTGACAAAATGGGGAAAGGGTAGACCAAATCAGAGCACATAACAGCTATAGGTGAAAGATAAGCCAATAAGCCAAAAAAATTTATTTAAAATAAAAATAAAATGGTGGGGTGGGGTGGAGGGAGAGACGAACAATATATACGTGTAACTATGACTCACCTTGGCAGGCAGAATGCCCATAACTCTGCTGCCCTTGCTGTCTCTGCCTGAGAACTCCATGCCCAAAATACAGTCCTGAGCCGCTATGTGACCTGGGATTGCATCCGGCGGAAGTTTACCGGTGGCCAGCATCACATCGCGGAAGTTTAGAGATGTGTAGTACACACTGCATAGTTCTGTGTCACTGCCATCGGGCTGGAAGAACTTCAGAGGTGATTCAATCCACTTCAAGCTGGACAAGTCACCACGAGTAAGTACATTGACATAGGCATAATCACTGGGCTTCTCACTGATGGCACCGTCTGTAAGGGAAAATTTGAATGATTTTTGTGAAACCAACCTAAAAGTTACATAAGAATGGTACAATAAACTGCTTAAGGTATATAGGGCTCCTCAGAACAAACCTCAGCTAACATTCGTGAGAACAAGGAATTTTGCCATCAAAGCAAATTAACAACATTTTATTTCATAATTCATTTTCAAAATTAATCAAAAGTAACCAAATTAAAACTTCATGTAGTGACTCAATATTGATAAAGCACTTCTGCTACCTTATTTTCACTCTGGCAACACTCGAGAAGAATTCCTTCTCTGCTCTAGCAATGTTTGGGGTTTTTTCTTCTAAACTGAAACCACAAAAAGCAGCTTAGATGCCTGCACAGCAAGTCAACTGAATACTGTTCATCAATCCTTTTTTATTTTTTACATTGATTAAAAATAAACCCTGAAACCTTTTCTGACCACATTCACATGTGAAGACACAAGCGCTAAATAAACCTCTATCAAAAAATGTTGAACAAAATATATCAGAACACTCTTCTCTACTTCTAGTTTGCATCCCTTAAACATTTTAAGGAAAGATGAACTGAGAACAAAGATTCCCTCAAAATACTGAAGCAGGATACATGAGCTCAGGGCAGTGTCAGCAACATTACAGAAAATTGAAATACGAGAATTCTTATGCTACTTTTCGTGTTAGTTCCCTTTTTCCTGCTGATTTTGCTCTCCAACTAAAGCTACTTCTCAGAAATGTAGGAACTCTGATTCATGGCAATCATTTCTCACAACTATTGTCTGAGAGAGATTTAATATACTTTCTGCTGAGAGTACATGAGTGAGTTCAATCACATACTATGCTCTAATGGGTATCTTCTTTAAATGTATTCAGCTTTGATTGGATCCACCACTACCACCAATGTCAAAAGTAAGCCTTGTGTGCAGTCATGATTAACCCAACTTCAGCAGCAAGCAGGTGAAAATCATGACAAGCCTGCAGAGGATGTAATTCATACTTTTTGCTCCCTCTTCTTTTTAAGTTACTCAATTTCTACAGCAAAAAGAAAAAATCCTTTCATATTGAAATAAAAACATTTCTCCTAATGGACCAAAGGACCTAATGACATAATAAGACCAAATAGACAAGCTGTAAATCTTACCTAGGGGCACTGATACATGTTTGAAGCTTCCCCATTGTCCATCCCTGTAGACATTGGAAACGAGATCCATCTGGACAAGCTTCTTAAACTCTGGGCTATCAACGGTGATCTGTGGCTGAGTGGTTGACTTGAGGTTGCTGATGAGTAGACCTCGGACTTTGCTTCCTCCAGCCTCTGTCCTGAGACAGTTGATGAAGCCAGCGAGTCCATTGATCCCATCCTGAGCTGCAATCCACAAACGTGCGTTTTCGGGGGCAGAGTCCAGCTCACTGACCTTTGCTTTCAGATCTTCCAGCCAGGAACATTCTAGATCATCAATGGAGACTAGAGTCGGTGAGATCTCGGCTTTCTTGCGGAGCAGGAACAGCGTGGAGAGGAGATTGTCAGACTTTCTGTAGATGACCTCATAGTTGTGTCTGGTGAACACTTCCACCCAGGATCCCTCAGTCAAGTAACAACCACACACCCGACAGACATCGGGAGACTTTTTGTCTGACAATTTCTCAGAAATGGTTTCCAAGGCGAGATGGAGTGGGAAGTTTTTGGTGACCTCCTCGACAAGGATGAAGCCCTCAGGGACGACCATGGTGGAGACTGTCTCCAGCGTACTGTCGATGTCTGACTGTTTGTGCAGTATGTTCTTCAGAACCAGCAGTTGGACTTGGCCAGGCGGGACAGATTTGGATGTGGACGGGTCCCACTGAGAACCCTTCACACCCAGACCTTTAGCATCTTTGTCCAAAGCAGTCTTGTCCGCACCAGTATAGATCACACTCTTCAGAGGGTGTGACGTGATCATGGGGATGATTTTGCGGTATAGAGCACTCGAAGCAGCCCCAGCCTCAAAAATGGCTGGCTTGTTGGAGGAAATATTTTCCAAAACAATGTCGAGGCAGGGCTTCAAGATATCTTCAGTGTTCAGGCTGGAGAGAAGCGCGTCAGACGCCAATGCGGAGCGGAAAGACTGCAGGACATTCTTTGCATTCTCCTGGAAGGATGAAGATGCTGAGAGGCTGAAGATCTTCTCCAGTGTCTGTGCAAGACCACAATTTGGTTGTGCCAAAAGTGATTGCAAATCTGAAGGTGCAGAGGGTTTGTTGTTCGTGACGACATCTTTGAGAAGATCCTTGTTGGGCAGAGCACCATCAGCATCCTGAGACAGGAGTTTGCTGAGACCTTCGAGAGTGTAGTTGAGGCAGCCTGTGGCATAGGCTTCAAGAGAAGCCGGAGGTGCACTCACATCTTCAGTGTATGGCACAAAGCGATACTCCTCCAAAGTAGGTGCAGTCTGCAGACCTCTTCTTGGGGCAACTGATGCATGGAGATCTTGGATTTCAACTCCCCCAGAGATGGCCATTTTCAGGGTCTCATTGATGTAAGCAGGAATATCTGAAAGAAGAAGAATTCAACATAATGTTTTCCTACATAAAAGTGCAGAATGTGAAATATTTTTCTATTCGACAACTTATTTCCAGTTTGCTGCCTTTCGGCAAACATAAAAATCTTTCTTCAACAGCCAATGCCACAGTATGGCCAATGTGACTGGTGTGCTGTTTCCCCCCCCCCCCCACCCCCCCCCCCCCCAAAAAAAAAAAAAAATTCACCCATCTTTGTAGCAGTGAGAATACTTTAGCCACCTGACAGCAATAAACAGAATAATCTTACCTCAAGCTGCTAAAATAGCACTTACCAATGGGCTCTTCTCCCTCAAGCGGTACTGGCGGGTGTGACTTGGGATCAATCTTCACCTTGCGGATTCTGGTGGGCAGGCGCAGAGCTGTGACATTATCAGCCACAATGAGGGCCTGCAGCATGGTGTCAATGAACGAGATCCAACGTCCATTCCAAGTAAGCTCCAAGGTCTCAGCTTGGGAAAAAAATAATAAAGTTTTGTTTCAGTTCAGTCTATTCATCTCCATTTTTTAATTTTTTTTTAAAAGGAATTGAAGAGAAAAATTCATAGGTGTTGAATAAGTGTACTAAAAAAACACAAACAAATAAAAACAAAATCCAAGCAACAACAGTAGAATCAATTGTAACCCCTGAATTGACACATGTGATTAGGGTTAGGGTTAACTTCCTAGTAGTCAACAGAAAAAAGACCATAATATAGGACAAAATGCTATCGGTAAAAAGAAGTCATTCCATCTTCTAAGAAAGCACATCCTCAAGCAATAAAGTATGAACAGAAAAGTCAAACCAGCCCGTAAAAAATCAAAGACCTCTTAATGAAAGATAAAATATCAAAGCATTATTTAAAAGAATTAATCATTTCAAGAGAACTTTACCCTATTGTGAAAGAAATCGGAAGGAAGAAACAAAGAGGATAGATATATAAAAACACACACCCTAAAGTCTCCACCAAGTTGATATTTTTCCCAGGATCCCAATGATTTACATAAAACAGTGCCCCCATACCTGTCTGACTGCAGCGGGCAATGCCCTGGAATGTTGGTCCATAGTCATAGCCCCGCAGTCTCAAGCTCTTGTACACCTCCTCTCTGGTGAGCTGGAACTCTGAGACCTCTTTCTGTGACATGATCTGTTTGACAGCTGGGTACAGATCTCGGTCAAGGAACTGGCCATCGGGGGAGTAGATAATGCCACTGACCACAAGGGAATCATTCTCACAAATCTCAAACTCTCCAGTGGCAGGCATGATGCTTACACTCAAAGAGACAGTCCCTGTGGAAAAGAATGGAGAGGGGTGTAATATTATTTTATTTAGCAAAGGCAGCTATTATTTTTTATCCGTCTCAACATCAAACTAAAGCGTACATCACAAACGTATTAAAAAAACTCTTCACAAAATAAATGAACAAGCAACAACAACTTTAATATCACCAAAACAAATTACTGCATTTAGAACAGACACGCCTTAAGTCAAAAACAAAACACTGCACAAACATGACCAAAAGGAAGCTTTGCTATCACTCACACTGACAAGACAGACATAAACTTAACCAATAGACAAGGAGCATTAAGAAAATAAAGGAACACTCAAGACCTGTCAATTAAAAGACCATGATTTACCTCAATACTGACATAAAATATTTGTCATTTACAAACACTATTATCACAGGCCTTGGAGACGCCCGTTTGTGTATATGTCATAAGCTCAGACTCACCAGAGGGTGGCAGCACGGTGGCCCTGTGTATGTTGATGTTCTCAAACACAACTGGCATCTGCTCGTACAGCTGACCCTTGAGGCGGGCCAGGGCTCGCCAGGCCAGGACAAGGTAGCCTGTGGCGGGATACAGCACGCGGCCGTCGATTTTGTGACCAACCTGTAATATACAAATAACACGCAATTATCATATTGTAAAACTCTAAACGACATCAAAATACACAGTGGAGTCTGCTTAAACTGAACATGATTAATCAGAAAACGACTATATAAACTGAAAGAAAATAAAAAGCCCAGATTTTTTTTCTACTTGAGCCACCTCTCTAAATCAAAAACCCAAATAAAGAAAAGAAAGTCTGGCAGTCACACAGATTTCGGTTTATGCAGACTTCACTGTATATATTCCAGGACCATTGATATTGATATTTCTACATACAACCTCAAGACAACCACAGAACTTATTATACCTAGTAATCTTTTTAATATTCTGAGTAAAAATTACTGACATAACAGTAACTCCAAGCCCTGATGAGAGAAAACACACCAAAAAAAACAACTGAAACAAAACAAAAACTATTGATGTCCCTTTTCCATCACCAATTGCAATGGCACATCAACTCTTCCATAACTAAAGAGCAGCATTTCCACTGTTTCGAAATATAAACACTTAAACTGCACAAAATTTTAATATTTTTAAGTAAGAATTTTATGGCACTTGCAACACAATAAGGTCATGTAACAAATTTGTTTTTTAAACAAATAAATTGAATCGCATACATCCTCATCCAACTGATATAGTATAAATTGCATCAATTGGTTGGAGAGCCGTGAAAACTACAGTATACGTGCTCAAGAACACCCCATTAATGATTCAAACCATGGTCATACACATCACAGTCCAGTATGAGACCAACAGAACTATCAGTGCACATCCACAAAAATTAATTGTCAATAATTTGTACTTACAATGTAGTGGTCAGGCGACTCGTCCGAGACGTCGATCTCAAAGACAGCATCTGAGGAAGCGCCGCCAGTGCCTGTGGGGTAGTCCTCTCCATGGGGGGCAGACCAGGTCACGGAGTGGTCCCAGATCTTGGAGATGCACGAGGAGACGTTGGGAGTACCACGTGGCACTGGGTACTGCACAGGAGGGTAGACCTTCAACGGGTTCAGGTCCATTCCGTTGGCAAAACACCTGAAAAGGAAATCGAACAAATTAGAATGTTGAGGCTTGGGATAGTTATAGTTTAACACGAAAAACTTTTCACTCAAATGCCAATAACTTTCCTTGGAATTACTTTTTTGCCACCAGAAATTCGCAGGATGGGCAATATCAATCTCCTAAGATTTACCAATTTCCAACAAGAGAAATAAGAATATCTTGGCTCAAGAGGTTTGCAATATGTCATGGAATTGTTATACATGAAGATTTTCAGAGAGACAACCTATTAAAAAATTATTTTTTAAACTTTTTAAATGGTGCGGAGTAAACTAGAAACAGAAGCTCTGTACTTCTCCTTTCCCTCCAACCTAATTTCTCTCAATCTCAACAAAACCTCACCATCTTCATTTATTCTCTCCCTTCCTCTTGGGTCAAAAAAAAAAAAAAAAAAGCATTTCAAAGATAACTAAGACCAAGACTTACTTTCCAAGACTGTTGAAGAAGAACTCGATGTTGTTCTCATGGAACCTCTTCATGAGCCCAACAAAGGTGGCCTCGGTGCTGAGCGACCTCTTGAGGATGGCCTGCAGCAGGCAGTGCGGAGCGATCTCAATGGCGATGGCGTTGCTGGGAACCTTCTGGAGGCCTTCCTGGAACAGCACGGCACTCACCAAGTTGTTCACATGGTAGTCTGCCGAGGAATACTGAGCCAGTTCCTCTCCCCAGCGAGCCTCAGGCACAGAAGTACTCACCCACTTGGGCGAACGCTTCTTGGGGGTGATCACCTGTTTTGAATGAAGAACAAGGGGGTTAGTATCAGAGAACACCATACCATTGCAAAACTCGTATAAGTAATAAATATCATAATAATATTACAATAAAATCTTATATCTGTAAGAGGTGCACTCACCCACTAATCTGAGCAACTCCAATACAAATTAAAAGTGGGTACAATCCTTGAACTTCAAACATTTTTTGCTATAAAAGAAATGAATAAACTAAACTGAGGTTTTTGTTTAACTTATGAAAACAATACTTCGTACTGTTACTTGGAAAAAGAATCTATTACTTTAATCATTTGACAAAGTCAGTACTAGACTTTTGCAAATATTACCACAACAAAAAAAATCAATATGCAGCTAATGTTACTTCATTTTGATTTCAATCAGTAAATCCATGCCTGCATTTTTGCATTTCGGGTGAGCAAGTATTTAAAACTAACCCGAAATACACTTTAAAAAGCTTTTCATTTATTTTTGGCATGCAAGCTCAGGTAACCATAACAAATTTTACAATCTTTAACTCTATGTTCCAAAACAGGAAACCATTTTGTATGCTCTAAAGCCAAAAGGAATCCAGTTATATGTAAAATATGATGACTCTACAAACCTTGCTCAGAGCAGCTTTGAGTTGGGGAGCAATGTCGTTCATGTAGTATGAGTGGTAGGCCACATTGGAGGACTTCACATCACGAGTGAAAACTCCCTTAGCCTTGAGATCCTCCACAAATTTGGTGGTGGCCTCATATGGGCCGGAGATGGTGACTGTGTCAACAGAGTTGTGGCAGGCAGGGACAACACCCTCTGGGCAAAGCTTCTTACACTCCTCCCAAGACAGACCTGTGCACAGCAAGAGTTAGATACTGTCAGCTTTTACAGTGCAATCAACAAATAAGTCCTAAGATGTCAGTTGGTCAGTGCTTTAGGTAGCAGCTCTATTAACGGGACCTTTACATTAAGATATCAGTCAGCTAAATGAAACATCATAACAAAAAACAAACTTTTGAAAATAATTGAGACTGATCCCGCAATGAAAAGCACTCTGCTGAGAAGAAAATTGTCAAATTTTTAACTTCCTTGACCAAAAAGAAGCTAACTTTAAACTGAAGAACACAGGAGACTATGCAGAATACTTTCAAACTTAAAAAGAAAACAAATTGTCAATTTTTGTGGTATATTTGCTAATATCTTCTTCAAGAATAACTGTCAGACAATATAAGTTATTTTTTAAAAATCAGGACAACTGAGCTTCTCCATGTCAAATATTAGACAGAACCACTTACCAACAGCTGCCATTTTTCCAGCAGGCAGGGTGGCTTCAGAGATGCATCGGCCTCTCCAGTATGCACTAAGCACCGCTTCTTCAGCAGTGAGTGAGCCGTCAGCATAGGCACAACCCAGTTCTCCCACAGAGTGGCCCACAATGCCATCTGGGTGGATGTCCAGCGAGTGGAGGAGATCCACCAAGGCAACCTTCATGTCAAGACACAAACACTTATGAGTACTAAGAAAATTCTTAACATACGTGTACAGAAATAACCGACTTTCATTGAGTAAAGAAAGAACATTAGCCCAGCCTAAAAACATAAACTCTCATGCATCTCACTGTTGGCATAAACATAGAACTAATAACTCATTACAAGCATAAAGACTGAATATTAAAATCACCCTAAACATTAACTTTGAACAACACAGAATATAAATATTTATTTGCCTTTTTTCCTTCAAACATCATGAACTTAAAGAGCAATGCTATCTAATGTCTCTATTTTATCTCATTGTTTGGGCTGCCATTTCTCAAATTAATTATGCTAATTGGTCAACATACACCATGCATTACATGAACTAATTTGCATCACTCATGTTTTCAAGACACAGTATATTTTAACGTATAAAGAGATTCTACGAACATACCTGAATGGAGGCGATGCCAATGAAGGAAGGAATGGTCTGATCAAAAGTGGTCTCATCTCCGTTCATGAGCAGCTCATAGAGGTTGAGGTCGTATTGGCTGAGTGTCTTTGTTGAGCGCAAGATCGACTCCCTGAACACTTCAATTTCCATCATTTTACGGGCCATTCCATGCCACTGTGTGCCCATGCCAGCAAACACAAACCAAATGGGTCTGCGATCTGGGCCGCATTTCTGATACATAAGGAAGAGAAAGGAATCCTATAGGGTACTGGTAGAAATGGTTACATATCTAAAGGTCTCACCACATATTTGAAAATGTATTCTTATTTCTCAGATAGAAAATAATGGCCATCTGTGCAAACATTAAAAGTCAAAATTAGAAGTAAGAGTGGGACACCTTAAGTCACTACAAATTCCCTGAACACAGAGGTGAAAGTGAATGCAAACAGATCTGTCATATGTCTTCAATTACCAAATCATTATTCTCCAACTTAAGGAAAAAAAATAAGATGCAAACAAAAAGCAAAGAAGTACTAATCTTTTCAAAGTAGACAGGACTAATTAAATTCTGGAAAAATAAAGAGCAAGCCCTGAGTGTTTAAGAAAAAGTAAAATAATCCACAACACACACCTGAACCTCTTCCACTTCTGAGGTGCCATTGATTATTGTGTATCCTCTGTAGGGAACCTGGTTGGTGGGAATGTTGGCACTGTCCTGTATCAGAGCTTGGAACTCCACACTCTTTGCATTCTTTCTGACTTCTTTCAGCACCTCACGCACTCCCTCCTCTGATCGGGCACTGAAGGTGAACAGTCGTGGCTTTTCACTGGCCATATGAGGCTCACGTGGCTCTGCGTCATAGGACCTGGAAGAGTATACCAAAGTGTCAATGAGACAAAGTTCAATTGATCGGAAGACAGCCTTCAGTACATGCTTACAAAGTAAAGTTATAATAATAGCAATAGTTCCTCCATCATTGTCTGACAATGAAGAGTGCATTTGCAAAGGAAAATATTTCTTAAAGAAAAATAGGAGAAATATGGATTAAGATGATTTGAGATTTCTACTGTGGCAAATCCATTTCTAGCATAGAAGAGTTTGTCATACAGGCTTTTTAAAAAAGCTATAAATGTATGTCAACAAGATTTTCATCTAAAACAAACACTGATTAGTAAAGCTGTCAAAACGTTGGTGCACTATAAAAAAAAGCCACAATAGTTACAACAAACTAATTCCACAGGTTAAATTCAAAGTTTTCAATAACTTGCTATAGAAGAAAAAGGCAAGAAACCAAATATTTTCAATTACTTTGGGAAAGCTGTAATTTTGAGTCTTAGGACTACCAGAAATAGGCTCATACCACCAGTGGACACTTCTAAAATGACGATATAAAAATCTCACCTGTACACAGCATGCACATTTGCTCCACCAAAGCCAAAAGAGTTCATGGCCACAAGACCACCATCCCACTTGGTACATTCTGTGATAACTTGCAAACTGCCGTCAGAAAGGCCCGGGATCTCTGGATTGGGTGTCTTGTAATGGAGATTTGGTGGGATCACTCGCTCCTCCATAGCAATGATGATTTTGGCAAGAGAAGTGAGACCTGAAAGAAATAATTAGAGTTGTGCACTCTTGTATGTCCTTTTTACAGCAATAATTACAACACAAAAACACAAAAAGATGAGCATTTCTGGCTATCAACACTTCTTTCTTCATAACTGCAGTGTGCGTCTACGAATAACCATTATCTTTAGCGTGGATGAAAGAGGCTATGGATTTTTGGTCATTGACCTTAGTATCACTATATTACAACAGTGAAGGTGAGGCAACACCAAAAAAAAATAAATAACCAGTTCTGAAAAAGATTAGCACTATATATGCCCTTGCGCAAGATTTTGCATAAGGAAAGCCTTTACAGTATTCTTGAAGTTGGCAAGGTGCAATTATGCTATGGTATGTATAGGCGAGGAAACTAATTTTCTTTCAATGTAATTAGTTTATCTTCGAAGCAAATCAAGTAGGTGGGAACACTCCCTAAATAATGTAAATTTGAGAACCCTGTCAGGGACTTCCAAATTCTTCCCCCAATGCAGCTCAGCATTACTGTACTACGTCTGAATCTGCTCCTACACCAAGTTATTCTTAGTGTCAAGCTCTAAAACCCATCATGTCACAGAGAGAGATTGTAAATATGAGGTCCTTCCAACCAATCTAAAATAAACATTTTTTAAATAATTATTGCATTATACTGAGAAAGGCGTTAAGCAAATTGAACACTAAAACAATGCTCTTATACACAAATATTTCCAAAAGAACAATTCATAATCCTAAATAAATAAAAGCCAATTAATTGCTCAAGTTACAGGTCCATTTGTTGGCTATGAAGATCCTGTTTCAGAGAACTGAATACATTTCAAAAGCTTTTGCCTTATGTTTACATCATAGGAACTTGTTATGCAGATGAATTTCATACTACTGTATGTACCCTTCTCCACTTCTCTCCTTTAATGGCAACATAATACCTCCAATTGAGGTTGATTCAGCACAATGCTAAATCACTTCAACTTACTGACATCTATCTTATCTACATTCACAGTCCAGCTCAGCTGACAACAGCAGCTCCCAATGACACTATTTGCATAAACTGGATAACAGCCAGCAATCGGATAACAATAAAAAGAAATTTATTACCACTAGGTTGAGTATTAATTACAAATATGCTCTTGCCATCAAACTAATTTCTTTTGTTCAACTGGGAATTCAGGTTTCGATCAACTGCCAAGACCATAAAGGAGAAAGTGGGGGAAAAAATGTATTGCACATTTTCAAAGAAAGTATTTTCTTTCCATTTGACATCAAGTTTAACGACATACTACAAAAAGAACCTGTCCCTAGTTCCTGTTTCTCACATAACAAGGGGAGCGAAGGAAATGGTTTAGACAGAAAAGAAACTATAAATACAGAAACTGATAGAATTTATGCTGTCACTTCCATCAATTCAAGAACTCAAAAGAGCCTTTTTTTGAGCCATGCTAAATCTTGCAAAACAAAATCTCAATAAAAACTAAATTGAGGCACACAGTAACAAGGCGTTTCGTTTCCTCCTTTATCTAATTCAATTATTCAATGAAACTACGGATTCTTTTTCAACTGAATTCCTAAATGGAACTGCTATTTGCAAGAAAACACAGGTTAACAATCACTGGTCAAAATGAGATACAAAACTATCTTTAAAACAAAATCTTTACCTGATGCAGCCTCTGGGTGACCCATGTTGGACTTGGTTGATCCAATCAGAAGAGGGGTATCTCTGTCCTTGCAGAACACGTCAACGATGGAGTTGATCTCTTGAGGGTCCCCGACTTTGGTTCCTGTTCCATGAGCCTCCATGTATGCAATCTAGACAAACAAATAGTCCATACCAAAAAAAATATTACAACAGCACCTTTTTTTTTAACAAATGAGCATTCCATCAAGTGTATTCTGATTTGCAACATAAAGAGAAAACATCCTGTTTTATTCAGACCCATCTACGCTGAAAACGGCCTTTTTTTAAGACATACCCAAAAAAATAGTACTCTTCCTCTCCACCTTCACATTTTAATTAGCACACCAATTTGTGAAGTGCCAAGAGCCACCAGGGAGTGGGCACTATAACAGAGGTCTTTATGATTATCATTGTTATCATTATTATCATTATTATTATGAACACATAAGAAAACATCAACATTCCCCTGAATCTTTCTTTTTTATTCAGGGCCTGGCTGAGCATACCATACTTCAGCTAAACTATCTCAGTGCGATACCCTAAAGGCAAAGAGTACTATCAACATTCATGAACTTTTTGTCGAAAAACATTTCTGAAAAGGATGACTACCTATTTTGAGACTTTGGACTGAAACAGAGTAAATTTCAACATGCACCCACCCCACATCCCTTTCTTACAAAAATACACTATACCATAACATATGCCAAGCAATGCAAAATAGTTTAAATTTAAAACTTACATCTTTTGGGTTGAGGCCAATATCATTGTAAACTTCATTGATCAAGCGCTTCTGAAGATTGCCAGATGGGAATGTGATTCCTGATTTGGAGAGAAAGTCAATCACATATTGAACGAGAGATTTGACACAGTTCAGAAATAACATTAATATTAATTAAGTAACGATAGTGTATAGAGAGATGTCAGTTTCTACAAGACAACACAATTCACACTTCAAAACAAACAATTTAAGGGAAAATGATAAGAATTACTCTAAGCTATAAAATAAATACATCCCATTAAAAAAAAATAATTAGCAGTTGTGTTTATTGCATTCATTTAGGTAAACAACTTCAAAAATACTTCTGAATATTTTCAAAAGTTTTACATTCAGAACAAACCATTCAAAAAGTGTCAGAAAGGGAGAGGAAGAGATTTAAGTAGAAAAGCAGACAAACTTTGTAACATTATATGCAAATGTAACAAATGACTTACATTCTAGCTCTTAAAAATTATAAGAGCAAAAGAAAGTATACCTTGTTCTTTGTAACCATCAGCATTGGCCCTGGTGTGAACAACTGTAGCATAAATCCTTCTGCAGTCTGCACTCTTCTGTAGGAAGATAGCCATCACAGCTTCACTGCGACAGTAGCCGTCCCCTGAAAGTACAACACTTCCAACATAGCACACTTCTCTAAATCAAGCAAGCACAGATCAAAATTAGGGGATGAGGAAATCTTTTAGTTATGTGCAAATGTCACTGTGAATATGTTTAAAATACAAAGCATGTACATGAGAAAAAATTACAGACCTGAAAAATCTGTTCGCTGTACGTGTTTCACTATCTAGGCCTACATGCCAGACCTTACTCAGAAATAGTTTAATATTAAAGCTTCCAGGAGTAAAAGTTGGACCATCTTAGTAAAGAGAAGGCAAAAACTTTCAGCAAATGACATATCAAGCACTTACATAATCAAGGAATCTTATATTATAGACTAATTTCTCACATTCATTTCAACCCACTAAACCAAGTCTCTGAAGACAAAGTACTGAAGCTTACGATTTGATTATTAAGCAACCTCTTACCGGAGGCATCAAAGGTCTTGCATGCTCCGTCAGGGGACACCATTCCCATCCTGGTGAACTGGAGAGACGTCTGAGTCTTCAGACACAAGTTGGTACCACCGACAAGAGCAGAGTCGATGAAGCCCATGCGAATGTTCATCAGAGCCTGATCAAGACACATCATGCTGGAAGAGCAAGCTGTGTCAACTGCATAACTTGGGCCTGTAAAGGACAGGAAAGCATAATTACACCCTAAAATGGCTAGTCCAATTTAAGAACACTAAATAAGAGTGCTTTTGCAAGTTCAAAGTTTAAATATTTCAAGTAAATGCTTGATTTTAAAATGCAGAAAAAACAAAGAACATTTTTATTCTATTTTAATCATGAAAATTCTTCTAATGAGACCATTTCAATTTCCGTTTTTTAATGGTGAAGAGTGAAAATCTCAAGCAAGAATGTGCAGTAAAAGTAGAACCTTAACTTTAAAAATCAAACAAGTTACATTAGACCAGAATTATTTCTCCAGCATCCCTTACCAGTGAAGTCAAAGAAGAAAGAGATTCTGTTGGCAAACATGGCTTTGCAGCATCCCGGCATACTGTAGCCCACAAGGGTCTCGGGGTCAGCAGACCAGGCTTCAGAAGCTTCAGCAATACTGACACCAATAAACACACCGGTGCGGGAGCCTCGGACACTCTGCAAAGTCTGGCCTGCACGAAGGAAAAAAATTTTGACAAGAATTACATTTAACAGTAGGCTACAAAACCTACTTTGCAACACTAACAATGAGAAAAAAGATACAATGGAAAAATGTTTTGAATAAAGAAATGACGAGACAGAAATGGAAACAATTTTTTAACAAGTGAACAATTACTATCATTATTACCATAAAACAAAGAACGGCAGACCGTTACTGGATGAGTTAGCACATTTTTCAGCAACACAACAACCCTCATTTGTTTTAGTAGAGGTTTTACGGCACTCGCAACAGCATAAAGTCATTCGAGCGTCAGAAGATTAGAGGTGTTACAAGAGAGTAACAAGCATAAAAATGGAGGAGAGGAGAGAAGGATGATAGAGGTTTGATAGGAAAGAAGAAGCAAACCACACCAGACCACCCGCCAACCACCCACAACCCTCAGATTTATTCTATTCACAAGGGTATGCATCCTGCTGTAAATAATTTCTTCTGTCCTTTACTGCTTGCAAAGCCTCTGATCAGAAATGTTACAGGTGAAACTGAAGTGATCTAAATGTTTTTAGTAGTTAAAATCACGTCTACTTTTTACAGCCAAAACCAGCTAAAACTTTAACCCTTGTGCCCTGCTCCTTGAGCCTACAGCAAATGAAATTTGCAACCCAGCTATGCATTTGGGTATCCAAAAAAATTTAAAATTACAAAACATCTAATTCAGACAGGTACCACAGTATAAAGCTGACCTGAATCAATGATGGCTTCATAAGATACTTCCAACAACATCCTGAGCTGTGGGTCCATGCAGTCTGCTTGCTTTGGGTGGACACCAAAGAATCCAGCATCAAATTTAGCAATTTCTAAAAGTTTGCCATTTCTGGGTGGCACTCCATGCAGACCTGTATTGAAAAACATTGTCAACTCATTATAAAACAACACTGATCAAAAATAGACAATAGGCTGGTTTAAATACAGAATCTTACAGCTTCATCAATATGTGGCTTCCTAAAAAAAACAAAATAATAGCAGGCTAATCACAAATGTAAAAAAAGACAAAAGAATAAGAGGGTACCTACAAATAAAAAATGTAAAAAGCATTAACTTACATTACTAAAGACTGCAAATCTGCACAGCCAATCAACATCACTCCTTATCCAATACCTTGTATACATCTAAAAACCATCAGTTTTAAATATCTGGGCAAGCAATACTCACCCACTTCCCATCTTCTGTTGTCTGCAGTCACCATGTCTTCTTTCTTCATCAGGTGATCCCGGAATTCTTGCATGTTGGCCGACTCTGGCATGCGGCCAGAGATGCCGCTGACACACACCTCCCCATTGTAGACAAACTCTGGGAGGTTTGGACCAAGTCTGCCATTCAGCCCATCACCCTGTGCACCTCCATTGTACAGGGTGTCCTCGGAGGGTACTCTGGTAGGCATTTAATTGTTTTGAGGAGCTAAAGCAGTCTGTAGGAAAAGAGGAATAAAAATTTCATTATTTTTTTTAACAAAGAGTAATTGAGCTTTAGCCAAACGCAAGATGATCCCAGCAAAGGTACCAAAATATTTTGAGCCCACAACACCATCAATCACAAAAGCCTGGTTAGTATCTCAATTTCCTGCAGCATACAGTCTTTTTTCCTACTAGGCTGAAAAACTTAATTGACTATTCAATAAAGCACTACTTAACTTCACTTGTACACACAACGCAACATCCTTTCCTCTGAAATCTAAGACATAATAAAAGACTGAAGACTGAAGAAATAATTACAGCTTTGAAATAAATATATGAGTTATTCTACTTACACACTATACAATCTTATTCTCTAAATTTTAGAATTCAGAGTTCTGTAACAACTATTGAAACCACAACATAGCTCCGTGCAAAGTATGTTAAAAATCCCAACTTGCACAAGAGACAATCTTATGGAGTTCTACCCTAAGAGTCCCATCTCAACTGAAGAAAATACGTCCGCTCCACAAAGTAATATATCCAAACTTATGCAATGTTCCATAAGTCAAAGATGTAAACTAAAACGAACCAAAAAGCAAAAGAGAGTGCAGCACTGGTCACTCCTACTGGAGACGCACAGTATGATATCACAGTAAGGCTACATATTAACATATTAAGTATGTCCTCTCCCTCGCAAGATAGCACGGCCTGAGGGCATGCCCTCCAAATGTGATTAGACACCCACTCTCTCCTACACCGATCCCTGCCCATCTGATTACACAGCCCCCTCGCATCCTCACTCACTCTCTCTCCCTCTCTCTCACAAATCAACACCCATCCTCCCCCCCCCCCCCCCCCCCCCCCCCAACCCACTCTCATCATCTATGCTTGTCAGTATGACTACCTCCAGTTTTTCTCCATTTTCCCCTACCTTTGAAGTCCCTATCCAGTCGATCGACTTCTTTCCTCCCTCCTACTTATATGCTAATCTCTGTGTTCACTTAGCTACCTCCTTTTCTCTCTCACATACACATTACAAAATCTAGAAGTTGCATCAATGTAAGCCGAACCACAGGAAAATTATACAAAAAACATTTCTCTCATATATATCATTGGCTAGTTGTTCAGATATATACCAAGCCCAAAATATATATTTTTTTACATTGCAGTTTCTTTATCTGTGGTATGAGAGGCATGTGCTCCAATAATAGTTTGTCAAAATTCAAATTCTAAATGTTGAAAAAAAAGCAAGAAAAGATACGTAATTTCGATACAATTGCGAACAGAATAAAATATGTTTTTTCTCTCCTGAAAAGTTTTGCTTTCTGGACTTAATACATTTTAACTGCCTTCCAACATTGTGTAAACATGATAAAATAATTCTCTCCACACATGTCAAGCTACGGATTACCTCTTGTGAAACCAGCGTAACAAAACTTATAAAGGTCAGGCACAAATTGTTACCCAAGACTGCTTACTTAAAGTGCACATAGTCGAACAGACCTTAAAATTGAACTACTTTGTAAAGTTTTCTTAAAATCTAAATATAGCACATGAGGTCAAATGTGCACGAGAATTAATGAGGCATGATCACTCTGAACATATTATATAATGCATTATATGACTAACTGCGAAATTATCTACCATGAAACAAAAGCGTGGGAACATGATCAAGGTCAATATGAAACTGGTTACCTGATACACTTAGTGCACACACCCTTATTGACCCTAAAAGTGTGCCACACTGTGCATAATTATCAATTCTTAATTTAGCACAGAAGGTACAAAGCCTAATCATGTGCATTATTACACACTTATATGATAAGATATAATAATCTAGAGAGACAACCGTTATCACCTCGAAACCAAAGAGCGTACCCTCGATAGTGTCAAGGTGCACAAGTCATGAGAAACCTACGGAGATCGCCATAAAACGATATCAGCTTGAGATGGCGTGTACAGCGAGTTCCTATGATATCAACCACATCGTATACAATGCATGACAAGCACTTTTCTACTAATCACACACAAACTTATATGCCCTTCTGACAAAGAAAGGAGCTGATAGGGACTTGCAGAGCACTGTTAGAGACTAGAGATTCAAAAAAAAAAAGAAAAAAAAAGTTAAAGTAGGCCGAAGTGTGCTACAACAAGGTGCCAAAGTTTCCCTTTTTGCTACTTTATAAATCCATTGTTGTAGTACATGTGAGAAATTTGCCAAATACTTCCTCAGTTGTACCATTGTTATCCTAATAAATCTGATGAGCATCTTTCCGGAAGCTCTCTCAGCATACTGGAACATAAAACTCTAACGAGAAATATCAGATAATAATGCTTTGAAATCTCTTTGATAAATCTCTCCAAAACTATATAAAAACATACATGCACATCAATTAGCTCCACCTGTATTGTGCTGGGCTACTGAGATATGGTACAGATGCTAGGCGTGTTCTGTTTGTTTTCGCGATCGGTGGATCGTGCAACTCGTTTTGTGGATCCGTCTTATAAAACACTTTAAATACTAGACTAGGAGGCTCAAATGTGGCATCCATCTGTTTTTGATGGTCTGTGAGACTTGTGATTATTGGTGCCTGCTCCAGACATTTGAGCCTCCTAGTCTAGTATTTAACGGTTTTATAAGATGGATCCACAAAAAGCGCTACACGATCTACCAACCTCCAGAATGCGCAATGATCTCATGTTGAGCATTCGATGGATCCACAAAACGCGTTGCGCGATCCACCGATTACACAAATCGACAGAACGCATCTAACACAGACTACGCGGGTTCAAATCCCGTATCGAGCATTTGGGGTTTTCAAAGCTATACACCTACTTGGCTCAGTCGTACCAGGCCAAGAGGTTAACATTTGAATTCAGATGCCCCGCCTCCAATAACCTCACTGTGCTGAAAGGGGCGATATACCCACATATACATACATACATACATACAGACACACATACACTATACCATAAATCGTGTACCAGAGAATGTGACCTGAAACAAATGCAGGAGTTATTTTGCGCTTACTTCACAAAAATCGGAAACAAAAGAAAAAGACACAAAGTCAGTGAAGCAAAAGCATACATCAAAAACATGGCTACACTAAAAACATAGCTGATGGAAAGGTGTGAAGAACTACCATGATCATATAGGTACCCTCCAACTGACTTTTGAGAAGGAAAAATTCTAAAGGACTGACTAAAATGCACAACCAAAGATTTTAAAAAATCCTTCAACAAAAAACAATAATAGGACAACCATGTACCTTCTTCCTCTGTCTCGACCCCCTGCTAAAGCTCAGGGAGTAACGACTATTAGATCATCTCACAGTGCAGTCGACTTTACATTATAATGGGCCTTAATTTACCTTGGCTACATAGAACAGAGATTAGAACCATTCCTTGCCTGACAGGCAGACATAATTTTTTCAATGTTCTGATACATTTACACTGGCTAGAGTGCCTTCAGTTTCTGAGCAGGAATTAATTTTGAGGTTTGCCTGATAACAGTGCGAAGTGCCTAGGCCTTTTTGGGGGGAGAACGTTCATAACGACCGACCACTATGAGACAAGAGTAGAACAAAGGGGTATGGGGCAGGGGTATGGGGTAGGGTTTGGGGAAGGGGTAGGGGTAGGGTTTGGGGTAGAGTTAGGGTTTAGGTTTGGGGTAGGGGTAGGGCTAGGGGTAGGGTTGAGGGTAGGGTTAGGGTTAGGTCTCTTCTTAAATTATTTATTTTAGAACCACAGAGGGATCTTTAACGTGCGAATTTCTCACTTATGTGTCCAAAATTTGTGTCCTTATAAATCAAAGAAGCATTGCTACTCATTCCTGCCTATTCTAGGATCAGGGGGGTGTAGAAAACATGAGAAATGAATGGCCCAGCACTCACCTCTGACTCTGACACCCCCCTCAATGATGTAGCCTAATTATCTTACCCACACTATATATATGGCTCTTTTCGTCTCAGACGGTTAATTTAGCTTAAGATGGTCTCAAAGTTGTCTTCATGCAGCTTCTTTCAAGGCTAATTCTTCCTATGTTTGAAGCGCAGATTCTGTCGCAGTGCTTGCATGTTAGTGTCGTAGATCGAAGCTCTGTATTCTGCTGTTTTCCTTTCGTCGTTGGCGCTTCTCGGCCTGGTTGTTTCTAAGGCTGTTCTCTAGCATTTTAGTTCTTTCCTTTATAATTTTCTTCCATGTTTTCCGGTCCTCGGCTATTTCTTCCCAGATGTTAACATCTACTCCAAGCTTAGATAAAAGCTGTTTTTGCAGGTGTCTTTGTATTGTATCTCAATTTTGGTCTTCCTCTTTGTCTGTTTCCCTGGGCAAGTTCTCCATAGAGAACCCACACTACTTTTTTTTTAAAGCATCCTATTCTAGATCACAGCACTACGTGAGTATATGTTAACAGCTTTCACACAACTAAGAAAATGTAATACAATACAGAGTGTGACTTAGACTTAGGCATCAAACAATATTGAAAAAAACAAAAAACAATAAAAATGTACTAAGACTTACAAAAACGACATGGCACAGGAAAGTGAAAAAATGTGAAAAGTCTCATCAACAACAAGAACCAGGACCAGCCAGAACAGGTCAAAACTTAAAGCACGAGGCTATTCTCCGGCGTCATACCGGTCAATATACCGATGGCTATTCACCGGCATCATGTAACTTATGTCGCTTCTCCACAGCTTTCTTTCCATCTCCCCTGTCGGCATGTTATGGCCTTACACAAACGCTCATAAGGGTCGACACTTCAGAATACGATTCATCATATAGGTGGACACACATCCACTACTCAATGAAAACTCCAGTGACGAAAGAACGGGGAATTTCAGTGTCAAAGGTGACAGCATCAGAGAAGCGCTAACAACCCTCAGTCACAACCAGAAGTACAAGAAGGCACATTTGGCACTGTACACAGTTTCAATAATAATGGCCATAACTTGCTGACAGGGGAGATGGAAAGCTGGGGTGAAGTGAAATGTGCAACAATAAGTGATGCCGGAGAATAATTATCGATCTATTGACATGCACGACCTCGTAGAATAGCCACTTGCAAACTTAAAATCTAGATCTAGATCTAGATCTAGACCTAGACCTCGCTCCTCCCACGTACACTGTCGGATCTCAAAATCTTACTTCAAATGTCAATTCTAACAAGACACCTGTCCTCACCACAAATTGGCGAAGGCGAATTTGCAACCAAGGGGAGGATGAGAAGAAAAGGAAGGCAAAGAAAAGGGTGAACCGACATGCAATAACACTGCGGAGTGGACAGGGAAATCATTCACCGTAACTCGGGCACTCACAAAAAAACATGAAAAGTGGAGGCATCTGACGAGGCCCTGCCATACAGCACCCCTGCGATCCCCCGTGGATCAGTGAGCTTTGAGTTAGTGAGCAACTGAGGGTCTAAATAGTACCCCTTATTATTTTTTATATTAGGCTATCTGAACTAAAGGAGGCGTTGGACTTTAATGGCAAGCGCTATTTGCAACGCCGCATTCTGAATAGCTCTCGTGCTATTTCCAACGCTGCGTGACTATTTGAGTATTCTCCGAACACTCGGGAAAATAAACTTGATCTCTATTTCTCTGAATGGTATCCGTTCTCGAGATTTCTTTGTTATTTGAGACTATTTCGGCGTCATCTTTCATTTTGCCATACTAGAGGACTGGAAGGAAGGTACTGCGAGAAAACAAGACAACTCGACTTTGTCAGTAACCTATTTTGCATTTAGATCTAGAATCTAGAATCTAGTCAGCCCTAAAGCAAAAACTAAAATCCTTTGTGTTAAAAAAAAAAAATCCCCACCCCCTTTCACACCTTATAATATATTACAGATTTATACTAGATTCTAGATCTAGATTCTATACACACACACACATGTGTGCATACTCATACTGACACACACATGCGAGTGCACACTGACACACACACGGACGCGCGCAGGCCACTCCATTCGCAAATAACCAAAAAATTTCGAGAACATAAAAACCGTTCAGAGAAATAGAGTCCAAGTCTATTTTCCCGAGAGTTCTGAGAAATAGAGCCGGCCTAAAAAAAAGTAATCTCCAGTGGTTGGCCAAAGCCTCCTACTCTATGAATCACTTGAATCAAGACTCAAGATCCAGTAAATAGGAAGACAATTAAATAGGGGTAGGCCCTGGCCTTAAGACTAGATTAGAATCTAGTCACTAGGAGACTAGACTAAAGATAAAGGTAAAAGAAAAGACGCGCACCCAGCAAACTCATCTAGCCAACTCGAGACCTCTAGATTCTAGTTTGTGACAAGACAGGTAACGGTCTGGGCTCCAGATCTAGATTCTAGATCTGGAATCTACACTTCATCATGACTCGAACTTCAGAAATAATAGAAAAATCTTTTTACAAAACATATTTTGTTTTAACTCAAGGAAGGTCCCCTTAATTGACATTTTAGGCTAGAGTCTGAATGAGAAACGAATGTTTTGGAAGGACTTGAAGAGCGCCTGATGACCGACATTTCAGAGCGTAAAAAAGAGCGCAGGTCTCCTATTTCTTAGAACTCCGGGTATTCACCGGCAAGTCCACAATAATGGCTGTGCATGATTTAAAACTGAGAATTGAGACCGTGCGATACGCAAATGAGCAACAACAACAAAAAAACACAGATCCAAATCAGTACGTTAAGCAAAATATGAAACAGAAATTTGACATGTTGGAAATGAAGCTTGGCCTAATACATGGGAAGGGGGCGGGGGTGAGAACGAACGTTCTAGGCTACACACTTTTGAGTTCACCGGTACGAGCGTCTGTTTTCCGTTCAGTAAGAAAAATCACGCTTGTTCCAATTTGCGACAGAGATGATAAGAACAATTTCCAATCCGTGCTCAACTCTTTGAAACCATGGGTAGATGCAATTCGAAGACCTGCAAAAATGAATAAAGTCACAAGGAAAAGGCAAAGCGATAGTAGCCAAGCCTAGCCTATATACCTCTAGTAAATCATGCAGTGGTCTGATGCACACTCCTGTTGTTCGTGTAGCCTATAGAATGACCGTCTCATGCGATTCATACAAATCGTCAGATGTCGGCTCATGTGAAAAGAGCCAATGGGAGGGCGTTTCGCGAACCAACTCGCCCGGCGTCACAGGCCAACTGCGTGAGGTGTGACTCGATACCCTTATATAATCGACTCACTCCTTTTTCTTCACGAACGCGACTATTACAATTTAGTTTTTAGGAAAGGGCTCGGCCAGCCTAGTCTATTCGAGTTTTGGTTAGGCTATTAATATTTTTTTTCATAATAATATAGCCTAGATCTAACATTGGCCGATGATAATGAGGCCAATGGGAAATAAGCAATGACATGTGATAACGTACCCTCCCTGCACACACCTACACAAACTCTCTGAAACAGCAAAAAGGCCCACTTCAAAAGCACAACTCTTATCTGTTATATTCTTCAGAGGCGCTTCTCGTTCCTTGCCTACCCAGTCGTTCTCGAATTTATCAAGACCGTGGGGGAGAAAAATCAACTGGAAAACTAGATCTAGATCTAGATCAGAAATACAACCACAGAGCTGAATAAAAATACCAATAAAAAAATCAATGTATCAGTTGTATCTAAAATCGGAAAGACACGGTAGTAGCAGCAATAGTATAAGTTGTAATCGCAGTATCATCAGCTTTGGAAAGCGTAGCAGAGGAGCAACTTACTGTAAATATAGGCTAGAGGTAGTAAGTAGTAGCAGTAGTAGCCTAGTAGTAGTAGCAGCAGCAGCAAAGGGGGGAGGGGGTAAAGAGGGGGAAGAGGAGCAGCAGCGGCAATAGCAGCAGCTACAGCAATAACTGCAGCAACTGCAGCAACTGCTGCAATGGTAAATAAAATTTGAAGATAAATTGGTGTCAAGGCTTTTGGGTCCTTTATTTTTGTGTTTGAGGTTCTTATTAAGAAGGGATAGGCCTACATTATTTGTTTTTTATTTGATGGTAGGGGAACGGGGATGGGACTATAAATCAGTAAGCTATCAAATAAACGTAAAAAATAACTGTAATCAAAGCAGTATTTTAGTGCAAGTATCGTTGCTGTTGAAGAAATAGAAATACGAACTGAAAAAGCCAACGCTGTCACCTACACCAGCTCGAAACCCCTCCTATCTCATCAAAATACCTCCACGGTCACTAAGACTACAAAGAGACAGCTTATGACTTCAATATTCATACCATCATTATGCTACCAGTGCCAGACAATAGAAAACTGCATCTCCCCTCCACGCTTAACGACAACAGAGGATGGAAAAGTAAATGTAAAGTATCGCTGCTGTTCAGATCATCTCACACGTTAGGGCTTATAGCACTCGTGTGCCGCTGCTGGGGACAAGTTCGGGAAGTTAACATGACGCATCCCCCCTCCCAAAAATTCCCCACACATACACTCTCTCTCTCTCTCTCTCTCTCTCTCTCTCTCTCTCTCCCCC